TGTACATCAATCATGCCCCTTCTTGGATTGGGAGGCTTTTCTCTCAGCCATTCACCTTTTGGACTACTGCAATGTACTCCTCGTGAAGACCATTTAGAAGCAGGATTAGCTCTGAGGTGCAATTCAAGGTGCCCCAATAAAGCTCTGTGTAATTCACAGTTGAAACCACTTGTTTCCAATGGTTTCCACTCATCCCATCATATCTGGTCTAGGTTCCTGGAATGTCATCTTGTTGGACCCAGGAGGTATGCTTTCTCCATTACAGTGTACGCTCTTTGAAACAGCCTTCCCCTTCAGATGACCCCACCAACCCTACTAGCTTTCCACTGAAGAACAGGCTTTTTCCTTAGAAATTGGCGTCAGCATTAGTTGACCCTGGAATGTATATTTCTTCATGAGAGAATTTTGTCTGTATATCTCATAGTGGAAAAATGTTTGGAGCGTCAATTGTATTGTGTAGTTTTATGGGTAGTCCTCAACTTACAACCACACTTGAGCCCAAAATTTCTATTACTAAGCGAGTCAATTGTTAAGCGAATTTTGCCCCATTTTATGACCTTCTTGCCATAGTTGTTAAATGAATCCCTGCAGTTGTTAACTTAGTAACATGATTGTTAAGTGAATCCGGCTTCCCCAATGATTTTGCTTGACAGAAGGTCACAAAAGGTGTTCAGTTGACCCCAGGACACTCCAACCCTCATAAATATGTACCAGTTGCCAAGCATCCAAATTTTGATCACGTGACACGGGGATGCTGCAACAGTTGTAAATGTGAAAAATGGTCATAGGTCACTTTTTTCAAGGCTGTTGTAACTTTGAATGGTCACTAAATGAACTGTTGTAAATCGAGGACTACCCATACTCTATTTTATTTTGTATTTTCTTTATGGTTAATTGCCCAGAGTCATTGAGATGGGCGACCTCATGTATTCTTTAAATACATATATTCGTACACATGCACTGCTCAAATGCAACAATATCTATTCTGTGATGGCTATTTCAAGTCAAGAACTTCAGTAGGAAGGCTGAAACCTGGAAGAGAGCCATTTGTTAATAGTCAGGTCTGAGGCCAATGTATTTCAAAGAAAGAACGCCACTCCTCGGTTAAGATGAGAATTGTCATTATTTCCTTAATAATGACAATTTACTCTTTCCATGAAAAAACTCTGTGGCCTTTGTCTTATTATCCTCAGATATAATGTTCTACATAGGCTGCATCAGTATTTTTGGATAATAAAAATGAAGGCTATAGCTGCAGTTCAATGTCTTATTTCTAAATGTGCTTCTCATCCATTTCAAAAAAAAAAAAGACAAAAGCAAGCTGGGATAATAGACAAAACCCTAGGTCCTAACAAGGATGGCAGGGGGAAACTGCTAAGTTTGCCTCCAGGTAAGTTGGTATCTTGTAATTAACTATATCCACCATGGCCGGCATTTTCTGACTTCAGGTAGTCTGACGTACGACCACAATTGTGCCCAAAATTTATGTTGCTAAGTGAAACATTTATTGAGTTTGCCCCATATTACGACTTTTCTTGTCACAGTTAGGTGAATCATTGCATTTGTTGAGTTAGTAACATGAATGTTAAGCGAATCTGGAGTCCCATTGACTTTGCTTGTCAGGTTGCAAAAGGTGATCACATGACCCTAGGGCAGAGGTCCCCAACCTTTTGGGCACCAGGGACCGGTTACCTGGAGAAAGGTTTTTCCATAGACCGGAGAGTGCGTGGTTTTGTGTGCTGCCTGTATCCCACGGATGGGGCTTTGCTTGTTTGTGCGGCCCGGTTACCGGCATGCTGCGGCCGGTACCGGTCCACGGACTGGGAGTTGGGGACCTCTGCCCTAGGACACTGCAGCCATATATGAACCATTTGCCAATCATCTGAATTTTGATCATGTGACCATGGGGATGCTGCAACGGTCGTGTGAACAATGGTCATAAGTCACTTCTTTCAGTGCCATTGTGACTCTGAACAGTCATTAAGTGAACTGTTGCAAATCGAGGACTGCCTGTATTTTGCAGATATTTCATTACTAGACTAGGTAACATCTTCAGTACTATATTCTTTGAAGACCCATGGTCTGCTCCCAAAATGCCAAATATACCCAACTGCCCAAACAAAACAGGAACCCTGGTACAAATGCAGCCCACTTGTTCAGAAAGATAGAAGAGATGAAATACAAGCATGCATTTGCATTCATTAATTACATAAGTATTTTCTATTCTGTTGATCATGTTAAACTGGGAATTCCCAAACACCCCATCGTTCTTGTTCATTAACCGTTATATGGGACTTAGCAAGGCAAACTACTCTCAGGTCAGCAAAGGAATAAAAAAAAAGTATTTTACCCTTTCCTTATTTATTCAACCTATACACTGAATATATTTATTGAGGGAGGCTGGATAGGAAGATAATGAGCATGGAAGAAGCATCAATAATCAGCACAGTGCTGACGACACTATTCAAAATGCAAATGATCTGTAAACTTTAGTAATAAAGTTCAAGGAGCACAGTGAAAAAGGGATCTAAAATTCTACATAAAAATGGCTAAATGACAGATACAACAATCACCATTAAAACTGACTACAAAGATACTGAAGAGGTGGATACTCTTGCCTAGCATTTTATGATCAACTATCAACAAAAGACAATTGGCAATCAAGAAAAATACTGCAGACTACTATTTGATAGGACAACAATGAAGGCCTTGGAAAAGATGCTCTGATGTGCCTGTAGCTACAATATTAGAATTACGCAAGCAAATGGATTTCCCTGATACTCTTTGGAAGGAAAAATTGGGACTTTGAAGAAGATAGGAATAGTATGGGCATGTTTGAATTTTAATATTGGAGGAAAATCCTGAGAACATGAAAAATAGTCAAGAAAACAAATGGATCATAGAACAAATCAATACAACATAATCAATGAGGCTCAAATGACTGTATTTTGGATATATTATATATAAAGATGTAGATATCTGGAAAAATCTATAATCCTGGGAAAGATGAAAAGAGATGATGATGAAGCGGAAGCATGGCAGATAGACATGACTGTAGCAAGGATTGGTGTGCTAATATTTGAAGGACCAGGACAGAGACATATTATCATATATTTATATAGTCACTAAGAATCAACATCGACCTGATGCACATAATCAATTTGCATCCAACAAGTTATTGTTTAATATATATTGAATATAACATTCAATAGATTTCTACCACTTAATGGCTGGTCCTGGAACTTGGCTTTGTTAGGTTGTTGCCCAGAATCCAGGGACACATAAAAGTCCAGTGAGTCAATGCTAAACTGTGTGTATTTCCAGTTTGATGTAGTGTGCAAGTGATGAGAATGATGATATTCTAAATGTGGTGTCTATGTAATACATAGAATCAAGTGCTACATTATTTAAAGCAATGCAATTACTTTAAATAATGATGTCATTAATGTAACTCAATTCACTCAGTGAACATATAGTGGTCAATACTTTTGCCAGTAGCAGTCGATTACATGTACAATGTACTTGAAGGTAGTTATCCAAATTTCCACATAAGGAACATATCTACTATAAGAAGTTAAAAGAACTGCCTGTTTACTTCTTCCTTATGTTGTTCAATTGAAGCAAAAGAGCTTAATACCAGAATGTGGAATTAATATCTGTAAAAATTGGGCATCACCATTTAAAGTGTCATTTTACACCAGTTCTTGACATTTGTGGTTTGAAGAGAGTGGATTAAAAAAAACCATTTAATTAAGCAAAATTCAAAAAGATGCAAAAGATGAATTTACTGTCAGTCAGAAGGCACAATATGCTGTAGGGACAAACAGTATAATTCAATCTTATTTAGCGTGTATATTCTTTTCAGAAAAAATGTCATAGTTCCACAAAGCAGATTAAAAATATTCCTGCTATATAGCAAGCATATAGCGAAAGAACGATCCTTTGGCCTCTGTGCTGTTGACATTCTTATGTTTTCAGAAAAGTTTGCCGCTTAAGCCCATCTCCTGCTTAAAGGTCCCAGAAATGTTTGTGTGACTACTGGAAGAACTGACAGCAAGATTATGTACAGTAGATCTTTTCCTATCTGGGCTGGCTTCTCACTATGCTACTATAAGCAAAAATTACAGAGGGCTGGAACTGGTGGGACATAGAGAAACCTGGTATATTATGGAGATAACATGTGCCAAGCTTTCTTCTATGTTTTATGATTCACAGGCGTGAAACAGAAGTATGTTCAAGGTGCATAGCATTGTGTGATTTTAACATATGCAATAGCATTAAAACATGCAATCATAATCTGAAACCTTAATTCCCGAGACAGGAAAAACGGCTATTGTACACTATACAATATTACATTTTTTTTATTCTTGCATTTTGTGATTGTCCAGATAGCTGAGGTTGCTAAACAGTATTAACAATTGAATAAATTTTCAACTGAACATCCAAAATTTTAATGCTATTGTGTCTTGGACTGTACCACTATCATACCCAGTTATTGAAGGGAAACATTTATTCATTTATTTATATCTTGCCTTTATTATTTTCACAATTGACTCAAGGCAGCAAACATATCCAACACACCTTCCTCTCATTTTCCCTACAACATCCCTGTGAAGTGGGTTGGACTCAGTGTGTGTGACTGGCCCAAGGTCACACAGTTGGCTTTCATGGCTAAGGACTTGATTTCTTGCTTTTTAGCCTAGTGCCTTAACCACTAGACCAAACTGGCTCTGGGCATATTTAAGTAATTTAACATTTCCAAGTTTTTATAACAGAAGCTACTGTAAGTTGCCTGCAATCGCATCTGTTGCCTTCAATATGAAATGTGACTGATTTGTGCTATTACTTGTCTAACATGAGGCATCATTCTGAACTGCTGCTACAAGTAAAATAAGAATTTTAGAAGTCAAAAATAATAGGGAAACGAATGTTTAAAATCTTCTGGCTTGAAAGTAGTAAAATACAAAAATGAAAGTAGCCAGCATACTATGCTATACTTGATTCTCTACTACAATTTATTATACACATTTACAATCCACAAATACATAAAAAAAAAATCTGTACACATCACATTACAATACATACTAGCCACCAGTTGCTAGCTAATCAGAACACTCAAGGACCTGATTACAACTGCCTTAGAACAGGCAAAGGATCGTTCTCCCGGCCCTGGGATTTCCCCAGTTACACATTCCAGGATAACACACACTAACACAGATGGCCATCCATAGCCGCGTCTCATTCAGAATCAGGAAAATTCTCATTCAGATGCCACAGCCTGGGGTGTCTCCTGCCTTTGCGTCATTTCTTCATCTTCATATCTGCTTCAATGGCACAACGACGTCCTCTAGTTCCCCCATCCTGTTCAAAATGCAAAGGAAAAGGGAAGCCATTGTTACTAGAAGGACTTACACAAAGGACAGAGAGGCTTGGCTGCTATCTGTGTGGCCAGGAAAGACTCAGCACTTAAGTCTGACAATACCGCTTTCCTTCCTATAACACAGAGGATTCTTTTCTGGAATGGAATTGGTGGGGGGGGGGTGTTTCTGTGTCAGCTCAGAGCAAATGGGGGAAATATGTGCTGTGGCTAGTTTGGGGATGCTTGGAAATTATACTTGTGATTTTTCTTTCATTTGAATAACATGTGCTCATTTCTTCAAGTGGACAGGAGGGATGTTGTCTAACATACCTGATCAACTGCTGCTCTTTACAGAAGATCTCTTCCAGATGCAATACCCTGGCACTACTTTCCCTAGCATCTCCTCACAGCGGCTCTCCATGAATGTAGGGCAATCAGATAGCTTACTTCCTTTTGCTGCCCTCTCCATCTGGCTGCCTGTCCTCATGTTTCTCTGTCTTAATAGATAAGTATTAGAAGTCCTATTCTTTTGGCTGGAGGATGAACCTGTCAAAACGTGTTTTTGGCGTATTGAGAGACAATGATTGCCCAGATTAGCCACGAAAAGAACAAACCAACCACTGTATTTTAGTTTTGTAGTAGTTTTATATACTATACCAGTGATGGCGAACCTTTTAGAGACCGAGTGCCCAAAAACTGGCCCCGCCCCCACTCCACCCCTTGCCCCACCCCTACCCCGCCTGCCCGCAGGGCCACTCACTGCCTCCAGGGCCCGCCGCAGATTGCCCAGCCGTCTGCCCGCATCCCGAAGCATCAACTGTGTGTGATGGGGCATGAGGGCAGAGTCTTGTCTACGCTGTCTGGCTGCCATGTCCTTGGCTGCACTGCTCCGCGTGGGCCACGCTAGGGGGCGACTCTCCTCCAGGGGGGCTGCTAGTGAGGAGGGGGTTGCAGGGGGAGGCAAGGCTGGGGCAACGGCATGTGTGCCCACAGAGAGGGCTCCGAGTGCCGCCTCTGGCACCCGTGCCATAAGTTCGCCACCACTGTACTATACCATCTCAGAAATTTGGTTCTCACGAGTCTCAGACTCACTGAAACCATTGAAACCAGCATCTTATTTGGCGCAAAATTCAAATTAAAGTATCTATAATAGATAGCTAAGGTTTGTTGGAACCTATCCAGTAATGAATAGCCCACCATCTATTTTGCTAACTGTATGATTGTCAAATTACTTTCAGTGTTAGGAAGGTTTTTTTTTCTTAATTCAGTCAGAATCTGTCTTTAAGCCCATTATATTAAACTTAATGGATTTAGAATACTATAATACAAAAGCATAATGGATTTTATTTGGTTTCAGTGTGGCACATTGTGAAAATCCAAACAGTGGTGGTCAATTCAAACAATTTAGGTTTAGGAAAATATTTAAACCAAGCCACTGTGTGGTTGAAGGACTGCAATGATGGAATATCAACTCTGAAAGAAAAAAACCCTCAATGAAACTGGTATGGGTGGAGAGGAATAAAATTCCTCTCTGTAAAGGGAAGCAAATTGAAGAATATTTACAGGTTTTTCATCTTTAAAATATGTGAGGAATAAATGTGTCCAATACATTCTCCTACACCACCAATAAATGTGTGTTGTATTTTCTTTTACACATAACAAAATTAAATATAAATGACTGTAAAAATGATACATGATCTCAGAGCGACTTCAAATATCAATGATATATCAGCCAACTATGGCCATGAAAATTTATCTATTGGGTTCTGTTATTGCTTTTAGGCTTTGCTATGTTTATGCCATGCTGCATTTTTACATAACTTATTTAAAGATTAGGTTTTTCCAATAACACTATATTCTGAAGTTGTGGAACATTTAAACAAAGAAATATTTTTCCACCTAATTATAATTGAAAAATGAGTCAATATGCAAAAATTAGTTGTCAACTATTCAGCTAGGCAAATATGGTTAGAAAACCACAAATGTAAAGATCATTCAGCAAAACAGGTACATGCATATCATTTATATACATTACTTTTTTCTAGAGTGGATATAGCAAAGTATAATCCATAAAGCAAGGCTAGCAAAACTTTGCAACAATACGCAACATATATTGGAACAATGAATCCAAGAAAAGCATACAGAGGTTTCACAAGAAACTATGTTCTAATGAGAAGTAAGGCTCAAGCAGACAGCACTTACAATCACTCTGTACGAATAATTATTAGGCAGAGAAACTGAAACTGAACACAACGACAAACTACAACATAATATTTTAACAAACTTTGATCTTTTAACAAACTTTGATTTTTGGAGCACAATTAGAATTCTACTTCCCCCGTTTTTTTTTAATCTTTATTTATATAAATTACCTTCATTTTCAAATAAACCATTATAGTCACATTTGAGAGCATTTAAAAAGTACTATTTGGTCATATGATTCTAGTATATCCTTGCTAAGAATTGAATTAATTAGTTCTGTTTTATATTTAATTTGTCAATTGTTTGTTTAAAAAGAGCAGGGTACCTTTTTCTGCCATTCTAACAATAGCCTTACAGAGGAGTTAGGTTAAAATTTAATGATTGGTTTAGTTATCCATAGCATTACATAATTAACTAAGGTTTGAACAGGAATCCTCCTGCTACTTATTCAATTCTAACACTACAACACTTATCCTCAATACTTTAGACCAGGGGTGTCAAACTGCCGGTCCGTGGGCCGGACATGTCAAGCGGAAGCCGCGCCCACCCCATTGCCGGCAAAACTGTCCCGAGACGTTGCGTGACGTCATGTGACGTCATGAGTTTGACATGTCTGCTTTAGACCTTTCTGAAACATATCTCTGGAATTCCCTGCCCACAGAAAATCGGCTCCATCCAAACTTTAATGACGTTTATTTTAATTAGATTTTATTCAAATTATTTATGTTCAAGGAAGATGAATGACTGGCATGATTCTATATTTAAATATTTGTATTGATCTTTGCTGACTACCTAAATATTTTGTTGCAGTTTTATTGTTCTACTATATCTCTAAAAACACCAAGTATCCTGTAGACCAGTAAGGAAGAACAACGTAAAGTGCTGCAAGTCAAGATATTACTAAGTTACATTCATTTTATTTATTTTCAATAGCCAACCTTTTCAAAATGCTGAAGACAATCTTGTGAACTATATAGTAGTACAAAGCTATAAATGTAAGGCACAGCAGGGTCTTCCATCCCAAAATGACAAAAGCCTCTATCCCTATCATACAATGAAAACACTTTAAAGCATAACTGAGTGTTTCTTAGAATTCAGTAATAAAAGACCTAGAATCTTCCAATCATTTTAGGAAGGCCTATATCATGCATTCAATGTTCCCAATGTTATTGTAATTGTGATTGTTAAGTACTTACAAAGAGAGAAAGAAGAAATGCTGGGGAGCCCATAGGGCCACTGTCCTATTAAGAAATAAACAGAAGAGGTAAATGGATTTGTCAAGAATGAATACAACATATCTAAGCACCTAATTGTAATGACAGTCACTGTTCCATATATTTTACATTCAGAGCCAGGAATCTCCGATTCACAGGATACTGTTAGGCAGGAAAGTCTTAACAATTTAAATACCCAAACACCAGGAGTTTTGTGGTTTCAAAAGCTGCTTTAAATCCTCCCATGAAGGTTATAGTATTAAAACTCAAGATTCATCAGCTCTTATTGGTCCTACCTTCTCCGAAGCATCTTGTTTCCGAGTAGAATCTCGTCCACGGAGACTTTTTGCACTGATCCCAGACTCATTTGTCTGCATGATCAATTGCGTGGCTAGAAATTGCTAAAAACAAAAATCATCGCACAGTATGCATTAGGATTCAGAATGAATGGAAAGTTTAGCATCTTACCATCATGACACTGGGAAACAATTAGCTTGTTTTTAACCCTGTATACTTCTCGCTTGCTTTGAAACACTCAGGGTATCAGTCTTGTCAAGTTAACCTATTTCTTTCTATTCTAAGCCAGGGACACATTAACAATACCGGAAGGAGCAGGCCACTCCCCTAAGGATGTTAACTTCTCCCGTGTCAAATCAGAAGAGGACTGTTGCTCAATGAAGATATTAAGATTGTGCCTTTACCTGAATCTGCTCCAAGACATCTCGTTGCATTTCCACAGCCATGTGATAAACATCATGATCAGAACTATTGTACATGACAGCGTTTTGGAACATCAGCATAATATCTCGTTGGAACTCTGCTGTGGTTCTGATCAACCCATTCTCAATGTTTTTCTTAATTGTTGACAAATCCATTGGCCTGCAAAAGAGTCAAGCAAATAGGTTTTGTCTTAAAATCAAATGCATTAAAAATAGGTGCATTATGAGCAGGCTCCAAGCATCAGAATATCACTTATAAAATTAATTGTTCTCTCGTGTTTTTCCTCTGCTATTTTATTTAGTAGTGGACTGAATGGGCCCCAGGCCAGAATATGACAACAGTAGCAGGTAGCAGATAGTGCTGATAGGTGACTCAGTGCTGATAGGTGACTCAGTATCAATCAAAAACAAATACTAACCTCTGTACAATACTATGGTAACCTGGAGCAATATCGTCAGTCACGGGCTGTAAGAAGACATTGGCATACCTGTTCAAAGAAGACATATTAGTCCTAAGAAATATTAGTCCTAAAATAGACATATCAGTCCTAAGGCAATAAACATAATTCCCACTTATTTATTTGTGTCTCACTTTTATTATCTTTACAAATAACTCAAGAAGGCAAACATATCCAACACACCTTCCTCCTCCTAATTTCCCCCCAAAAGCAACCCAGTGAGGTGAATTGGGTGGAGAGAGTGACTGGCTCAAGGTCACCCAGCTGGCTTTCATGGCCACTTGAAGAAGAAGCTTGGAAACCTTTTCTAATCTACTACCCATTTATTTGCTCAATATGCTGTACGAGGAAAAAAAAATCTTGCAGTCTGAAAGCCTGTCCTCTGTGATATGTCTAGTATGTCTAGTTTAACGAAGAGAAGGACGAGGGGGGACATGATAGCAGTGTTCCAATATCTCAGGGGCTGCCACAAAGAAGAGGGAGTCAAGCTATTCTCCAAAGCGCCTGAAGGCAGGANAAGAAGCAACGGGTGGAAACTAATCAAGGAGAGAAGCAACCTAGAACTAAGGAGAAACTTCCTGACAGTTAGAACAATTAACCAGTGGAACAACCTGCCTCCAGAAGCGGTGAATGCTCCAACACTGGAGGTTTTTAAGAGGAGACTGGACAGCCATTTGTCTGAAATGGTAGAAGGTTTCCTGCCTGAGCAGGGGGTTGGACTAGATGACCTCCAAGGTCCCTTCCAACTGTATTATTATTATATTATTATTATTTCCATAAAAAAACAAAGTGTGTATTTGCACTGTGCGATAGAGTACAGCAAAGCTGTAATATATAGTAGCAAGCATGCAAAAGGCAAGTAGATGCAGCACCAAGAAAAAAGAGGCTAACCTCTGATCACCAGATACGCCCTGGTTTAGAAAGTTCTGCCAAAATTAATTCATTTCACACATTTTCTAATGCAGCTCTATGTGTCTGGTAAGGACTTTTGGGTGAAGAAATTGTTAAAGTAAAAAATGTAGGACTTCAGAGGCTGCCAGACGATGTGCTAAAAGCTCCCATGAGTAAGTCTAGACTGCAAAGTGTGTTTAAAAATATTTTAACGATAAAAATAAATATATATATAAAATATTTGATAACAATTGCAAATTATTTTTGAGTAATAAAAATAAATTCTCTCTATATAAAATATTTGACAAGAGTTGCAAATGGCAAGCAGGCAATTAATAAGTTCTTTTCACCCCATTCTTCTGCACAAGATAAGCTTTCTTTTAAGATGATGCTTGTTGCGACACACAAATTCCTATTTCTATTTTCCAGGAGAACCACGGCAAGTCCCAAGGTTGTTGATTTACCTGTGATTGGCAGCTGCTCTCCAAACCAGCATAATAGCCTTCTTCCAGATTTTTTGTGCCTGAATAGCCTCCTGATCCTCACTGCAAACAGAGCTGGAGAAAGACGGGAAAAGCCATTCTTCAGGAAAGCATACAAGTACTTTACTTCCTGAAGTAAAGCATATAAAGAAGGATCTAGTAATGAACTCTAACTCTCGGTGGGAATCCCCATCTTTTACATTTTCCTGCAAAAAAAGGATGGCCGTTCTCCTCGAAGCCGGAGTCTTACCATGAGGCTCCACCAGAAATCAGCAACTCATTAGACAGTGTTCTAAATTAGGCAAGCCCTAACACTAGAGAATATGGTATAAAGGGACAATACTACAACTAGCCTTCAGCCAGCTGGAGTTTGCTCTGGGGTATCTGAGTAGCTGGAGGTTGACTGATACTCACAACTGTGAGGAGGCAGGGCTGCTGGGAATGGAATCAGCCAGCGTGTGAGACTGCAAAGGTGCATTATGGATACTGAAGCCATCATCACTCTCACTCACAGGGGGCTCATTGTCCATTTCTGAGAGATATCCCTCACCCTGATCTTCCTCTTTGGGCTCCTCCAAACTGGCAGCCTCGCTGGCACCATCCTCCTCATCCTCTTCACCCTGAGCATCCCGAAATACAGGATTAAAAGTCTAGCAAGTCAGCCCAGCCAAAATGCAGCTGTCAACAAGAGCCTCCAAATATGATGGTTGCAGGAAAAGCAAAAGCTACATGCAGAAACACCCCACATGTATGGCAGAACATGCTCAGGGAGAGGCCCATGCCAACAGCTTCCCCATCTAATCTGTACTGCTTGATTAGATGTTCAGATGGAGCTCTGTCTCACATATCTGAATAAGGAAGGAGGGCCTTTTTCAAGCCAGGACCTTCTCAGCAGTGACACCACCTGCTGTTGAGCAAAATTCAACCATTCCTTTAGATCAGGGGTCTTCAAACTTGGCCCTTTTATGACTTGTGGACTTCAACTCCCAGAATTCCTCAGATAACGTGCCTGGCTGAGGAATTCTGGGAGTTGAAGTCCACAAGCCATAAAAGGGCCAAGCTTGAAGACCCCTGCTTTAGTTTAATAGTAAATAGCACTTTTCCCACAAGTCATTTGCAGCTACTGAGGTTTTGTTTCTCCTTGGTTTTTGTTACATTATTTTTCATATTTACATTATAGATGAGACTGCTGCATTTTTGTTTTTAACTTGTCTGATTGCAATGACTCTGTATCTAATATAAATAATTACTCAGGAGGACCTTGGCTAAAAAAAACAACAACACAAAAATAAACTCCTAAAATTAACACAGCTGTAACTGAAACCCTACCCACCACCAAACTCCCCCATCCCCCCCTTTCCCATTGCTTCCAGAAAAGTTAACCACTGATTTCCGGGCATCAGGATGAGTTGGGATGGGATTTTTGCAGTTAGGTCTGGCTTTCTTTGACTATAGATCAGTTGCAAAACAAAGAATAGCTGCTTACATCCTGTACACATGCAAAGAGTAAATAAAATACCTTCAGCTGGTTTTCAAAAAGAGCTTGAGCTTCATCTTTCATTGATTCTGAGAAGAAAACAACAACAGTTACTTGCGAAATGCTCATAATTTTAAAGGACATTCTCCATCAGATTCACATAGGTCAGTGATGGCGAACCTTTTAGAGACCGAGTGCCCAAACTGCAACCCAAAACCCACTTATGTATCGTTGAGTGCCGGGTGGGTGTGGCCCATTGGCTGGGTGTGGCCAATTGGGTGGGCGTGGCTGCGGTGTTAACGGCAGACTGGGTGGGACTAACAAGTTCAATCAATCAATTCCAACTTTGCAAGAACTTTTTTTTTCGCGAGAAGTTGAAATTGACTAATTGAACTGATTTTCTCTTTAGCGGAGGCCTAAAGAGAAAAGGTTTTATAAAACCCAATTGAAGGCCTAGGACTGGGGTGACGACGCGCGTGCCATAGGTTCGCCACCACTGATATAGGTTGTCCTTCCTGGAAACCTATGGCAACTCCCTGCTTCCCAGTCTATCCAATGCAGTTACCTGACAGCTCATATTTGTGGTGGACATCTGCCTGGGAGGAATCTTCACTTGCACTTGGAGCGTGTGGAGAGGAAGTCTCCTCATCAGGAGGAAGCTAGAAAGAAAATAATGTGCGTTGTGTAGGACAATGAAAGCAGGCTGGGAGGCTGAAGTGACAGAACCCCAACTGGACAGCCGCATGTACGCACATCCAGACAGGGAGCTCCTTGAAGACCTAACCCAGGGGTAGGCAACCTTGGCTCTTTTATGACTCGTGGACTTCAACTCCCAGAATTCCTGAGCCAGCCATGGCTGGCTCAGGAATTCTGGGAGTTGAAGTCCACGAGTCATAAAAGAGCCAAGGTTGCCTACCCCTGACCTAACCAATGACTCAAGAGCTCTGTAATCTCACAAGGGGAAAACCCGTAGCATATGATATTGGGAATCGCCTTCCAGCTGCTGAGAATCTTGGATTTCATTTAAGAAACAGCGAGGGACATTTTTAGACTAGTGACTGCACAGGGACAAGCCACATTTGCGGCAGTCTTCAACAAGAGAAGACAGCCGAGTCTTAATTTTAAAAATATTGAAGCTGGGACATTGTGATTCTTAAGATACCTCTGGTGAGCGAACGGTAATAAATTGTGTAAAATAATAAACGATCACGGATGTTTTATACCGGATTTAACATTCAAGACTGGTTTTTTTTAGTGTCTTGGCACCAGAACGATACAGTGCCAAATTTAGCCAAAATACTAAACGGAGCCAAACACAATACGAGAGCTACCCTTTCCATTTCTTTCACACAAAATTCTAAATTACCTACAGCATATCAATTTACCTCTGCTTTCACAGTGCCATGATCCATGTCATCTTTGGTCGATTCTATATCCATATCAGAGCCTGTCAAACCAACCACTGTGGTCTCTTCATCTTCAGAGCTATGGCCCCTCAACTCAGAAGCTTCACTTGTTCTAGCTGCTAGTACAGCAGCTTCTTCAGAGCCCAAACGTACCTGCCCTTGTTCAGCAGGCTCAGTTTTAATATCGGCTCCCAAATCCCCAAGGCTCATCAGATCTCGGATCCCCTTGGCTTCCAATTCCTCACAGTCCGGTCTTTCTTGCTTTATCGTTACTGTCATTTGGGGTATCTGGCTCTGCTTGTCGTGCTCCTGTTGGATCGGATGCTCTCGCTGGAGGGGGTGCTCCCAAGGACTGGTTAGAGACTGGGGATCCTCAATTTCTTCACAGAAAGACAAGGCAGCCTCTACTGCCGCTACATCCAAGACTTCAGGATGATCATCCACCTTTCCAGACAAGAACATAAGGAGCAGACATAGATCGTTCATATAATAAGAGAGGGAACCTGGACTAGGGGGGGGGGGGGTGGTGACATCCCAACTGTTCTACATGCCAGAATGAAGTGAACGTATGGATGGAAACATTTTTTTGCCACTTTTGCATAAATCAGGCATACTATTACAGGTGGATAATACATGGAAAACTATATAAAACTTTGGACTGTGACAGATTATAACAAATGCAAAGCTTCTTTCTAAAGGAAATTATTTCCATGTTGGGCTGTGATTACTAAATCTGTGGGCCTCTATTCTTCACCAGTCCAAGAAACTAATACATTTTGAGCTGAAACTATCTGTTGAGATAGTTAAAACAATGAGGGAAAGTAAACCAGGCAAATGCCTTTTTGATGAAAGAAATTTCAGCTCTTGTTAGAAAGTAGGACCAAAAGCTCAGGCCTCTGGATAATTACCTTGTCCTCAATGATAGCTATGATGTCCCCAACAGTTTCAAAATCAAGTTCTTCCCCAGTGTAGGAAGGCTCTTCCCCTGTGTAGGAAACGGCAATATCCATCTTCTCAGCCAAATCCAGGTCTTCTTTGCTATCCATGTGGTCTTTGGAAGTCCCTACACCACCAGATGCCCCAGAGCCTAGGCAGTCTTTCTTGATGGAATCAATGATCATGGAAATTTCACTGCTATCCATTGATACTGTCACAGTGTGAGGATCAGGCACTGCCTCCATGGAAACACAGGTGTTGGGCTGATTCACTGGACAAGAGTGACAAGTCAAGTGAAAGCCTGGCAGCTGCAGCAACCAGCAATGTGGGTCAGATCAAGGCATCAAAAAAAAGCATTCCACAGCCCTGCATAAAGGCACATGCAGGCTGGTACCACTTTCTGTCCCCTCCCCCCACCAAGGTCTGAAATCAAAAGAAGAGCTACTTCTTAGCATCAAAGCCTAGCTCTAGTCCCACTCCAGTACTTTTACCATAACCCTTTCTTTAATCTGCCCTGCCTGAAACTCAGAGAGCTTTTTCTAAACAGCCTTGAGCCAATCATTTGCTCTATAATTAGCATGATGCTGTTGAAGTCCAGCAATCTATCCCTCTGCTATCAAATGTAAGATGCCCACAGCCCACATTCACACAGCCCTTCCTCTAAATCAAGGGAAACAAGTCTTCTGTTAGGTACTGAGTGGCATATGAGTGCAAGGACGCACCTGTCGCTACACTTTCTGGAGTTGCAGCAGATGGCACAGCAGGTGGCGCTTGTAGTGTGGGCACCATGACTATGGTGGCCTGAGACACGGACTCTATAGGGGGAGGCAGGAGTTTGGCTGGAGGCTCACTGGCAACAGCAGAAAAGGAAGCAAGCGATGAGGTGAATTGTGCTGGACCAGCTTCTAAAAGGCGGGAAAGAGTAGGAGCACCTAACAAAGTAGGAAGACAGGAAAGGCACATTAAGCCACAAGCAACAGCTATAGAAGACTACAAAGCAAGCAGTTCCTGTACTTATCCCACAATAGCTCATGCCACAACACTAACATATAACAACACCTTTTATAAAATGGCTACAGGCAGCTCTGCTGGAAGTCACCTAGTAGAATCCCAAAACATATGCAAACAAGGATGTAGCATGCTTTCAAGTGGGCGATAATACAATTTATATATCACTGGGGAAAATGCAATCCATGTTCTGCACCAAAGGGTTCTACTTCATTTTTGTATATCAAATGATAAAAAAAGTATTTAATTTATGAAGATATGCAGAATTTACAAGATCTATCTCTCTCTCTCTGTGATGCATCCGGGACCAGCTGTAACTTCCGAGCAACTTTCAAGGGTAGCCCAATGTACAACACAATACAATAATCCCAGTGAGGTGACTGGGGCATGACTGATCATCCAGAGGACTTCCTAATCTAGGAAAGGGCACAACTAGCCCATTAGATGTAACTGGGCAAATGCCATCTTGGTCACAACTATCACCTGCTCTTTGAATAGAAGTTGTGAGTTCAAGATAACCCTGGGATGCACATCAGAAGGCCACCCTCCAAATTTTCTTTTGGTACCCAAGAGGCATAAAATCCTCCCTTTGCATCAATAGAGCATTTGACTATTTACTTGCTGATACTTGGGAAAGCAAATTCTGCATCAGGCTGAAAGCATTCAAATGTACAGAGCAAGTCAGAGCAGAAGGATCAAATATTACATAACATGGATAAAGCCTAGATTAAAAATACTGCACTTCGTACAATTATGATGTCTTCCAAGAACCCAACTTTTGCAGTGTTACATTTCACATGTTTAAAACAGTAGGTAGAGCATTGTAAAACAACAGGCCCTACCTGACGCAGCAGGGGTCGCAGGAATAGTGGTAGAGGCCGACTGCATTTCCCCACCGTGTAATACTGGAAGAACTCCTCCCACTTCCAGGAGGAGACCAGAGCTGCTTGGATGACCAGCAACAACAGAAAGCTCACCCTCTGCCACCTGCCAAAACACACCATATTCTAAAGATCAACATAAAGAAGATTTAACTTTCTGTAAAGTAATCAAGTCTCACTCAGCTGCACTATGTTGCACCAAAATAAACATTTTTAAGGCTGAAGCTTTCTTGCCTTTGTAGGAATAAAGAAATGTAAATGATTTCTTTGCAGTGGGCAAAAGTTCACCAAGGAGAAAGATAGGGGAAATTTAAAAAAAATGCAAAATCTATCCCTATCTAAACAATGTTTCTATGTTGGGTTTGAGTTAAATACACTTGTTCTTAGTGAACACCAGAACAAGGTAATCTTAAATTATGATGATGTTAAATTCAGGGAGATTGCACTAAGTCTCCATTTGCCTGGCACTCTAACCTAAACTGAACATTTAATGTAGTATACTACAATGGCTCCTGCCCCTACCTAGCGTATCAGCTTAAGGCTTACTATGCCATTCAAAAGTTCTTTCAGGCATCAGCTAAAAAAAGAACACTCATGATTTGTTAGTTACTACATTTCTGATAGAATCCTGTACCCGAAAAATAATCAGCAACGGCTATTTAATAACTGCATCAACTGGGAGGGTAGGAACCAGAATATGCAGGAGGATGCATTCCTTGCTTACCAATAAACTAGAAAAACATGTCATGAAAACCGGCTCCAAATAGACTTATGTTGGATTCAAATTTTTGATAACATTCCAGGCAACAAAATTTGGCTACATAAATTTTGTGTGTTTGTATAAAAGGGAAAAAGCTGAGAACATCTTTTTGGAAACCAGAGGCAGAACCTTTCCAATATTTTTAGGAAGACAAAAAACAAACAAAAAACAAACACCACCAAAAACAAAAACAAACCCACAAGAGGGAGAGATGGATTATCTATGGTGTAAACAGTGAAACAAACACTATAACAAACACTCATTATATGTCTCTTTTTCTTGCATAATCTCCCACCCTAGTAGAAGTTGCTGTTGCAGCTATGCTATGACTTCCCGTATGTATGATATATGTACCAGGTTTTCCCAAAAATAAGACCCAAGCAGAAAATAAGCCCTAGCATGATTTTTCAAGACACTCGTAATATAAGCCCCACCCCAAAAATAAGCCCCAGTTAAGATCGTCAGCCAGATGAATGCATTTAGTACCGCATTTTCCCCAAAATAAGACCTAACCAGAAAATAAGCCCTAATTTTTGGAGCAAAAATTAATATAAGACCCAGTCTTATTTTCGGAGAAACACAGGTATTTATAACTGCCCATCTCATGGATTTGTGATTCATACAATTTCATCAAAACAAAGAAGAAAACACAGGTTTTTTGAGGTACGTGAATATGTTTCCACATTCAAGGATATGTTCTAAATATCATCCAATCTAAATACCATTCAATCTAATGTAATTTTTAAGAGTAAAAATGAAGTAAGGTTTCATGTAATTACTGCACTTTACATTTGCCCTATAATAGTTCAAGAGACACCATTTTAAGCAATCTATAAACTACTAAAACCCTGTATGTAACCTTTAACTGTACAAAATGTTGCATCGTAGGCCAACAATTTTTGAAACACGATATCTCAAACAGGCTAATTTACAGAACGTGTCTAAAATCCATAATTCAGGACTCCCAAGGAATTGAATCTGGCAAATTTCATAAAATATTTTATGACATAATATAAACTATAAAAATGTTATGAAAGTTTGTGTTATATTATGAAATATTTTATGATCAACTGTGGTCAACTCCTGATTCTTAACTGTACTATACAGTTCAGCGTGGCCTATTTTCATCTCTTGGGTATCTCCCTGAATTTTAAAGAATTTTTCCAGTGAAGGCAGTACATTAGAAGCTCTGCCATTGTTCAGGGCACTGAGGAATCTGGTAAGGAAATATCTCTAAAAAGATGGCCTAATGGGTCATGGGTTTTCAAGTCACACATAGTACTATAGGCAAATTTTCCTTCACTCTTATGTATTTTGGTTAGCCGTTCCATCTTGTTCATAATTTTAGCATTTGCAGAATTCATTTATTTTTATTCGATCTAGATTGAAAATATTTATAACATACATAAAGTCCTTGATCTATGAGCATTCGTTCAGCCGAAGGTGCTGAATGAATGGCTGTGACCAGTGCTCAAGAGTTCCAGCCATCCCAGGACTTATGCAGTCCAGTGATTGCTATGTAGGCGCTTGGCAACTGGTTCACGCTTACGACTGGTTGCAGTACCCCATGATCATGCAATTGCCATTTGCAACCTTTCTTCCTGGTTTCCTCAGAAAGTGAATGTGGAAGCCGGCAGGGAAAGTCACTGGGATAAGTCTGCCATACCCATGCACCCACCCTTAGCCGCCCCATGTTTGTGCTATGCTGGCCCATCATCCACCCCCATGTACCTTGCCTGAGCCTCAACACTCTCCCTGAATCGTGATGCACCCCCCTCACATCCTCATGGACCACGTTGTGCCCTCCCTCACCCAACCTGCCTGCCAGCCTGCTTATGAGCTGCCTGGGACTTAACTTCCTGCTGGCTTCCCCACTAACTTGCTTGTGGGAAGTCAGCAGGAAGTTGCCTTGCCTAACAACTGTGGGATTTGGTTAACGGCAATCAGTACAGCAGGGATTGCTGTTGCTAAGCGATATGGTCATGCTATATAATTTCATTGCTTAGTGATAGAAATTTCAGGCAGAATTGCTGTCCTAAGTCAAGAACTATCTGTACAGGTAGTCCTCAACTTAGGATTGATTGCTTAATGACCACTTGGACTTCAAAAAAGCTATTTATGATCCACCCTCGAAGTTGATTGCTGCACACTGTGGTCATGTGATCGCATTTCTGGCACTTGGCAACCGGCTTACATCCATGACTAGTTGCAGCATCCCATGGCTATGTGACCACGACTTGTGACGCTTTTGGCCAGTTTCTGGTGGGTTTTATCAGTTTTTTAAAAGAATGGATTTGCTTAACAACCGTGATTCATTTAACAACCATAGTGACTCACTTCACAACTGTTATAAAAATGGTCATAAAACCAAGTCGTCACCTGGTGCCTCAACCTACAGCTGAAAGTTTGGGCTCCACTGTGGTCATAACACAAGGACTACCTGTAATTAAAACTGACCTGATTCTGAAGCATCATTAAAGTCGATTAGTGAGCGAAGCATAACATTATTTAATAAATACTAACCTTACTAAAAGAAAAAAATGTAGGAACAACAGCTTTCCCTAAATCTGATATTTTGGGACTGGAACTCGTAACTACCACAACTAAAGGCCATATTTCTGTGAATTCTGGTGCCAATATGCCCAGAACATACCAGACTGCAGAAGGCTGATGATCAGATTAAGAGCAGTTTTCCTAAATTTGTTATCCCCATGTGATAACAAATCATGTTGGACTACATGTATTCCTCAACCTACAACCACAATAGGGACCGGACAATTTGTTAAGCTGTGCTTAAGTGAGGGCATCACATGACTACACCCAATTTTATCACCTTTCTGCCAGAGTTGTTAAGCAGGCTTCGTTGCGCTATGGGAAAAGCACTGCTGATGCCATGCGTCACTTTCGCTCCTAACGTCTATCCGAACTATTCCATTTGAAAAGCTTTGTGCCTTTTCTGGTGAAAGTCAGTCACAGAGATTCCCCCAGATTTTTGAACATGTAAGGAGGGGACTCCATACCAGCCTGGGGCTTGTGGGCAGGAGGCTGCCTTTCTTCAGCAGCTCTGAAAGCAGAGGAGAAGGAGGCGGAGTCGCTTTCTGTCCTAGCATCTTTTTCTGGGTTGAATCATCTGTGACTGGGGTCAAGGGGGCATCCAGGGAGGTGGAGCCCATAGGGGTGTCAGGGATCCCAATGAAGGAGGCAACTGGGGTGCTGGGCAATGTCCCTGGAGTTACCTGAGGAAGAGAAAAACCACACTGTTCAAAGCCACATCCTCACCATCTTGACATGTCCCTGTGACTCCTCCCAACAGGGCCAATGACACAGCCTATCCCAAGCAGCTCCTCCATCACACTAGCTTCCCTTGCAATTCATGTATCTCCACCTGTTTTTCCCTGTATCAGCCACTGTCGCCAAAACGTGCCTGTAAAGCAGGAAGTCGGTGAGAGCCGTGGAAAGCTCCGTACAGCCTAATGGCTTTGTGTTCCTGCCACATCTTACCCCTGGACTTGTCTCTTCCACACTGGGTTGAGACAAGTCTCCCAGAGCATACTCTGCTCCTGGTGATGTTGACCCTGCTGGAGAACGGACCATTATTCCTGGCATCCTTCGCGATGGATTTTTAATTGCTTGACGAGCTAAGGAAACAAAAGGCAGAAAATTACATTCTAGTTCACACTATTCAGATTAATTAAGAATTCTCAACACAAAATATGGTGATTGTCAATTTTTCCACTCCCAAGTCAGTCCAAGGGGTAATCCCCTAAATACCTTTAATTCCATCCCACATGATATTTATGAATACAGAACAGGAAAAATGTTGATTACTAGTTAATAATTTCTTGCTTATGACCATATTGGACAGGTTTTCTTTTCATTTCTTCTATGCTTCTTTTTGAGGTACAGGATCATTATGACAACCCATCATGCCTTAGTCCGGCCTTAAAGGGAGTATTTTATGCTCAGTCTTTCCACAGGAAATTTGAAGAGGAAATTGGGATGGCCAAATAATTTTGTAGATCTTACTTTTTTAAACTGCATTTTACTACTTTTAATTTCTGTCAAAGAAATTTAATTCTGAGGACCTTGGTTCAACTAAAAATCCAAAATTCCAACTAACCTTGATAAGCAGCATCAGTAGCTTTTCTCTTCACTTCAGCCTCCTCTTCTTCTATTCTTTTTTTCCTGAAAAAATGCAGATCACACAAAGTTACGGGAGCAAAACAGAATAGATATTTCCCACTCATATAGCTAGTCCTCATTTAACAACAGTAATTGGGAACAGAATTTCTGTCACCAAGCAGCCTGGCTGTAAAGCACAATGTCAAGTGACTGTGCTATTTAGCACTTCTGATTGCTGTCATTAAGTGAATCCCACATGGATGCCATTTGTGACCTCCTGCCAGCTTTCCCATTGACTTTACTTATCAGAAACCAGCAGTGACGGTCATAAATGGCAATAATGTGACCGGATGCGGTAACATCATAATTGTGAGCCAGTTGCAACTACAAGAACCAGCTATCACTCATTCAGCACCATTGTAACTTTGACAGTTGCTGAACGAATGGTCATTAAACAAGGTGTATGAGATAAAAAAACAGTGAGAACCCCATTTTTTTATCCTTGAAAACAATTTTTAACCAAAACCTAAAAAATGTCAAGTACAGGTAATAGAACCCATAGGCGATTCATCAAAATTCTACTACAAAGGGCAGATAGGCTGGCAAGGAATGACATGAATACTGAGATAGAAGCATATGAATACATTACTTATCTCAGTAATTTTTATGCATACTTAAATAAACTTCATTTTTGAGGTTCATTTAAAAATTCACCTGATCCCAAGGATTCAAGACATGGAATTTGTGAGTGAAAGAGTTGGGGAGAGTGTGACAGAACAGGGAAATAAGATAACCCACATCACAATGTCATTGTAAATTTCCTCCAGCCTGTGATCCATATGTCCTGCCTGGATCAGTTCTGCATCTCTCTTCAGCTGCCTGTAAAGAAAATACAGGGTATACAGTTTAATTTAATTAATTTAATTATTAGCAATTGTTCTATAAGAAAACAAGGGTATCACTGATATATCACCAAATTTCAGACCTACCTGTACTTTTCCTGTGTCTCCTTAATAAACTTCTTAAGCTCCTCCACTCGTTCTGCTGTCAGTTTTCTCACAATAACATCTTCTACAGTTTCTACAACTTCTCCTTTCTCACCACGCTTTCTTCTACACACAAAAAAACAGGAGGGAAGAAGACTCTAGCGACTAGTAAGAGAAATCCGACCCCTGCAGATGAAGCACCCAGTATTCACATACATCTAATCTTTCTGTACCTCCTCCTCATCTCAATCACTTATTACTTACTGCTTTTGGTCTTTTGTAATTCACTACAAAAACTATTGTAAAGTTTAAGAATACACTAAAGTAGTCTCAGTCAAGTACCTAGTGGGGTGAAAGTTTGTGATCCCTGAAGAATTAGCTAATCGTGCAGTACTGTGCGTACAATTTAATGAAAACTTTACTTCAAATCTATATTAATTAGATTCTGGTTAAACAAACAATATAGTACATTTTGCTGTAGTTTTATTGAACACTATTGGAAAAAGTATGAGAAAAAAAATCTTCTGAAAAGATCAATAATTAAATAAAAAGCAGAATGCATTCCTGAATTGGGATTATTTACTCTGTTCTTACTTTTAGCCATTAAATCTATAAAGTAAATGGGAAGCTCGAATTCAAATCATTTGCATATCAGCAATATCTTCGATTTGAATGTACCTGAACTATCAGTTTTAGTAATCCTGAATAATCACTGTCTGGGAGCAGAGTTTCAACTGCTCTGGTAAGCTCACTCTGCCGTTATGCTCTTCAGTTCAAAGGCTGAACAATTTGTTAGTAGAGATGAACCTGCTTCAAAAATGATTTAGAAGTGCTTTGTACCCAACATTTCCCAGGTTTCCTTGGAAGCCTACCAGCAGTCAGGCTGCTTTAACAAATAACAAGGACATACTGTGTTCAACTTCTAATCTTCCTCTGATAAGAAATGGTTCAACCTTTAAACTCACTTTGGAGTCTCTGTTGTCTCCAGGAGCTCAGAATATTGTGATGCACAGTGCTAGAAAAAAGTACATACATACATTTTTTTAGAAAACAGTCACCATAACCAACACAAAAAAATAGTATTCCAACAAAAACTTGTGTGTGGCATATAACACATTTTCCACGCTGTAAAGATATTCCCCAACAATTGGAGAAGAGGACATATTTTCTAATAAATTATATGGAACTTTCCTTGTGTGCAGCAACCAGGAAGAGATGTTTACCTGAGCACTGGCACCATTAGAGTTATCTCCAGAGACCCTCTAAAACAATGCTCTATTAATGATAACTAATGCAATGCCAAGTTTTTTTCCCCATTTTTTAAAAAATATGTGTGTGCTGTGAAGCAAAGCTCCAAACAGTTTAATCCATGATCTTTATTTCCTAGATGTTCACAGTACATCTTCCCAATAGAAAAACAAAAGGCCATTATTATGCTTAAATGTAGTATTTAAGTTTCTTACCTTCTGAGAAAACCAATCTGGTGGACGGCCTGGTTCTGCAAAGGGTTTAATAGCTCTGCTGACAGATACCCTATACAAATAAGATGGATTTAAGATTTTATTTCTCTTTATACAAAATATAGAGTATACCAGGGATGATACGTTTACTAGACTGAGAAAAAAATACTGTATAAAAATACAGTATTTTGATAAAATACACTTTGAAGTTCATTTTGGTTTATATTCCATTCATAGTGATCTAGGGTCAAATATCTATTCATATCTGAAACTCATTGGTCAATTATACTCCATCAGTCTAACCTATCTCAGTGTTGGAAACCTCGATAATTAGAGAAGAAAACTACTGTAAGCAATTTGATTCTTTGGGAATAAAAGGGGCTGTAAATGTAAACAATAATCATCATTTACTACTGCCTTTTTCTATTGTACAAATCTAACTTGGATAAAAATACACCATACTGTTTTCAAATGTTAACTGCATGAATTTTAGTTAATTCCTTTCCAAACTTTTGTTTCATTCCAGAAGTAGAAATCTAGTATGAATAAGGTAAGTGTTAAGTCAGTGATGGCGAACCTTTTAGAGACTGAGTGCCCAAAAACTGGCCCCGCCCCCGCACCGCCCCCCCATCCCCTGCCCTGCCTGCCCGCAGGGCCTCTCACTGCCTCAAAGGCCCGCCGCAGATTGCCCAAGCAGCCCAGCAGCACTATGGCGGTCACTCCCTCTGCCCACGCCCTGCAGCATCAACTGTGCACGATGGGGCGTGAGGACAGAGTCTTGTCTTCATTGCCTGGCTGCCATGTCCTTGGCTGTGCTGCTCCATGTGGGCCACGCTCGGGGGGTGACTCTCCTCCAAGGGGGCTGCTGGTGAGGAGGGGGTCATGGGGGAGGCGAGGCTGGGGCAACGGCACGTGTGCCCACAGAGAGGGCTCCGAGTGCCGCCTCTGGCACGCATGCCATAGGTTCGCCACCACTGTGTTAAGTTGTACAATCTCTAGTGAGTTTCAACAGTCAATTCAAAAACTATAGTTATGCTCTTTTCTTTTTGATGACTTCAATCTGTGCTTCTGAATTTAATCAGAACAAGTGCTTAATCACTTTTCAACTAAAATTTAAGGATGGAAAGTAGTATACAATCCATTGATTTGACTATTTGCACTAATAAATAACCTCACTTTTCATTGTCGTTAACAGTACGGGGAGGGGGAGGGTGGACTGTAGGTTTTATCCAAAGGTACATCACATCAAAACAACCAAATAATTCCCATCTTGGAGTTTGCAGAAAAAAGGGGAATATTTATTGCAAATCATTTTAGGAACTTCTGGAATATGAAAGCTGGGAATAACAGATGTTTCTCAATTTGTTTTCATCAAAATACCTATCACTAATACTGAGTTACATCTCAAAATAATTTAATAAATTATTTTATTGAATATTTAATAAAAAGGGTGTTGTAACATGGGTTAGTATATATAAAGTAACTATAGTTAGTTCTTTGATTTATATTAGGGGTACTGTAAACTGGTACATAGCAGTACAAATTAAATTATTTTTAATTCAGTGATGCTACTTACAACTATTCATTTAGTGACCAAAGTCACAACAGCAGTGAAAAAAGTGATCTATGACCGGTTTTCACACTTACAACTGTTGCAGCATCCCCACGATCTCGTGACCAAAATTCAGGCACTTGGCAACTGTTCCAGGGTCATGTGATAACCTTCCGTAACCTTCCCATTTGGTTTCCGACAAGCAAAGTCAACGGGGGAACCTAGATTCACCTAACGACTGCATGATTCACTTAATAACTGGCGTGATTCTAATATTCTAAGCCAGTGTTTCTCAACCTTGACAATTTTAAGGCATGTGGACTTCAACTCCCAGAATTCCACAGCCAGCATTGCTGGCTGTGGAATTCTGGGAGTTGAAGTCCACATGCCTTAAAATTGTCACGGTTGAGAAACACTGGCTTAAAGTAACTGCTAATAGTGTGTTTTGGACTAAACAAACTCTTTTAAGTCTATGAAAATATACATGCTTAAATTAGCTTTTTCTATAGAGTTCACAGAAACTAGTGTAGTTCTAAGCAAATTAAGAGACATATTTTTCTGTGATTGTGATAAACTTATTCGAGATTTGCCATTATTTTGCAATTTGTTTTATTAGTCCCTAATTTTGTTGAATACAACTTGGCAGCAAATGTTCAAATCCATTAACGGTATTTATCTCACCAGTTCTGGTCCCCACTTCGCATGACAGAAGAAGCCAAGCACAGCTTCTCTCGAATAGACCACGGTTCCGTGGGCCCAGCGTTCATCAACTTGTGTTCTAACAGGGGAAAAAAAAAAATCACAATATTGCTGTAGGATGAGATATGAAGCAAATTATATATTCCTGATCTACCTGAAGGAAAAAAACATACAATTATCTGGAAAAATCTGGTAATAGCAGAAGGAAAGAACATTAGGTAGGTTCGCCACACTATTTAAAAAAATAATAAAGGCGAAATTTAAAAAAAACAACAACACTTAATCGCAAACAAATGGTTCCTAGAAGGGGGTGGGTGGCAAAAGGCCATCTCGCGCCCCTAAAATGCGTGCTACAGGCAGATACAGCATGAAGCCTGGCTGTACACAGCTGCGCCAGATGACTGTGGTCTTCTCAGAAATGCAAGGCCGTGGGCATCCTGAGGCCTAAAAAGGAGGCCCTGATACATTTGCCCTTAAGCAAGGAAAAAGACCACTACTCACTCCCCGCTCCGGCCGCCATTTTCGGGAAAGGACGATAGATTTCGAAGCTCCCCAGACATCGAGTCCGAAACGTTAGGTCGGGCCTCTCCGCTGAGAGCGGTAGGCGGTCCGTTCTATTCGACACCTCTTCCTATTGGTTGATTGAGAAGGAAAAAAATGGTGGCCGGAAAAAACGGTTGTTTAATCTCTATGGTTGGTTTCCCAGGGGTCAGTGCTCTGGGAACGGAAGCGGAAATAGGGAGGGAATAGAAGCGGCGCGTGGGTCTAGGAGGATCTTCGAATTGCAGCTATGGGTCGAGTCAAGCACCAGGAATCAGAGGAAGCGCCGGAGACCGAGGCAACAACCCCAGAACGGTCGTACCACGAGCTGGTCGCAAACGTAAATGCTATTGCGCGGCCGCTAGCTTCTCGGAAGCTCACACGCAAACTCTACAAGTGCATCAAAAAAGGTGCGTGCTATTTGGTGGGTGAGCCGCTCCCGGGTGGCTGTGATGGACTCTATTTAGAGCAGGGGTTCTCAACCTGGGCAACTTTAAGACTTGTGGACTTCAACTCCCAGAATTCCTCAGCCAGCTTTGCTGGCTGAGGAATTCTGGGAATTGAAGTCCACAAGTCTTAAAGTTGCCCAGGTTGAGAACCCCTGATTTAGAGCTTTACTGTCTCTTGGGGAATCTTCCTGAAAGCTCTCGCGTTTATTTTATAGCATCGAAGTTTAAACAAATCCGGCGAGGGGTGAAAGAAGTCCAGAAATTCATCAACAAAGGCGAAAAAGGGTAAGAAACCGTGATGCTCCGGGCGACAGAACCTACTTTTTGTGAAAGTAATCTCCGTATTTCCGCTTAAAGAACTGCTAATAGTGTGTTTTGGACTAAACAAACTCTTTTAAATCTATTAAATTAGCTTTTTCTATACAGAGTTCACAGAAACTAGTGTAGTTCTAAGCAAATTAAGAGACATATTTTTCTGTGATTGTGATAAACTTATTCGAGATTTGCCATTATTTTGCAATTTGTTTTATTAGTCCCTAATTTCTAACCAAGTGCTAAAATTGCTTTGTTTCATTTCTCATAGAATCACAGTTCTTGCAGGAGACACATTGCCTATTGATGTTTATTGCCACATCCCCATCATGTGTGAAGACAGGAGTCTTCCCTATGTATATATTCCATCTAAAACGGTAATATTTGGTTAAAGGAAAGAGATTTTCTTCTTGCTGGTCCTTGAGAAAGGAATAAATATATGAGATGTGACAAAAGAATTCAGTAGAATTTTGTCTCACATGATAACTTTATTTTCCTATGTTAACAGAAAGGTACGGATATTTAGTTTTTCTCAAAAGCTACTAATCTCTACGCTTTAAATTTCATGACAACGGATGTCATTGATTATTAAACGTCCCAGTTTATGAACAAACTTTTGTATGTTATTTTTTATTTTTTCAGTTGTGACTTAAATATGTAACAAAACTGGATGCAATAACATATTAGCATTCAGAAGCTGGAATTCTAAACTGCATTCATTTTATAGATGGCTTGCTGAATAACATATGACATCTGCATTCATATAATAGTAGACTGTCATACACAAGATTAAATAAATTATTGCTTAGTACAGTGTTTGAATCTAGCTAGCAAATGAACATTAGGATTTTCAGGCTATGGATCCTTACAATGTCAAATATAGTTTCAGCATAATCATGTCCAACTGTTGAATATGATACTAATACATGAATTTTAATAAAATAGCTAAAAAGTGGTACACGTCATGTTTAAAGATTTGAGTACCATATTGTGTTAATACCTTGAGGTTATGAGAGGGCAGTTAATATTGAAGTCCCTGGGAATTCCTTCCTAACGTGAGCTCAGAAGTTGAACTTACGGGGAAGTGGTAATTTAAGAATTGAATGCCAATGATTCCTATGTATTCTGTCCTGCAGGTGCCATGTTAAATTTTTAAGCTTTTTTTGTATAAGGTTTGTAAATATGTATGGTCATACAAAAAATGTAGGAATACCTAATATTTCTTTCCTTTAAATTATTTATGGTAAATTTTAATACCTTAGCAAGATCATTTTGTCTCACATCAAAAATGTGAATTCTTTAGTATTAAGTAAGCCTTATTCTCAAGTTGTTGAAATTTGGTTTCCATTTGTTAAGATGTTTGCAGTGCGGTTACCGAATTAAGCTTTATAGAAGGTAGATCTTCACCCTGAAGAGGCTAAAATCAAATTTCTAAAATACTCGATTTGTTTAGTTTGCATCTTGAAATATGCATGAATAGTCTGTGCTGAAAAAAGGGGAGACCTCTTTGTGTGATCCAAGGAACTGATTCTTCTTTTGCATTCAGGATTTGGGAGCAGCAGCAGGCTCAAAACGCCCAACCTGCGTTATCATGATAAAGGCTCATGAGGAATATCAAGAAGCTTACAACGAGTGCTTGGAAGAAGTGGAGGCTCTTCCCCTTCCTTTGTGAAGAACATTAATAACAGACGCTATTAAGACTCCAATATGATATAATATGCTGGATTCTGTAGACTTTATGTGGTTAAATATCAGTTTCATGCCAGTTTGGTATGACAGTTGGCTTTGATTGTTGAGCTGAGGAATATATCAAATGACCTACTGAGAGTCCAGGAACCATGGCAGCTATACTGTAATCGTCTATTTTTGAAGAGTTTGGGTAGCAATACTTGCTGGAAATTTGTGTTAAAATGTTGCTCTAAAAGAATTCTAGACCATTAGGATAAAGCAGGGGTAGACAACCTTGATTCTTTTATGATTTGTGGATTTCAACTCTCAGAATTCCTGAGTCAGCATGGCTGGTTCAGGAATTCTGGGTATTGAAGTCCACAAGCCATAAAAGAGCCACGGTTACCTGCCCCTGGCATAGAGGAACCATTAAGTAATAAAGAGATTTGTAGATATATTGGCTTTATCCAACTCAATATACTATAGACTTTAATATCACACGATCTTACTTGCTTACTCCAAAGTACCTTCCAGTTTTGTTCCTCTCTGCTTGGAGTAGAGAACATTTTTTGCATGCTCTCTTATGCATACAGATATGCTCTTGAAAATTAAAAAATACAAGTCATCTATAGCCCCTTTATTAAAGGGCAGTGTTATTTCAGCCCTTGTTAACTAGATCATACTGTACCGTAGAAGCAAATATGAAGCATTCTCAAAAACATACCCAGCCCCGGGCCAGCTAGACTAAGATGCTTTATACAAATTAGTCTTACAGTGAAGATTTAAATATGGTTTTGTAGATATTGCATTGTATGGCAACATGCAAAGTAATTTATTTCAATTTGTTTCTATGTCACTCACTGCCCCCTTTAGATGTTTGATATATATTCATGATTGGATGGAATTGAGAACACATGCATAAAGCCTCTGGCTACTCTTAAAAGCTATAGTGGCAACTGTTTTTTTTTTCTTCAATTATCCTTTCTCTAGGTCAGTACAGGTTTTTTGCTTCAGAAAAAGACAACCAAATTTTGTAAAGTGTAAATTGTAAGCACTAGTTCTTACTTGAAACCTCCAAGTTAAAATAATGTCACTCTCCAAAATTATTCCTAAAGAGCTGTATGAGGAAATCTTTACGATTAGTCCATGAGAACACCAAGCCTGGCTATTAGGTATAATCTATGCCTAAAGATGTCTCTACATTAGTATCTCTAAGGCAGATTTTAAATTCCTTTTACGTACACAAATGCAACATTTTATTACAAGCTGTTAAGCACCAAACTTACTCATTACAGGTTTTAGATTTTTAAATATTTAAATAGTACATGCTCCGATGCTATAAATTGTTTATATAAGGAAGAAAATTGATCCTGACCGTTGAGCTTTTATTTCTCTACTAAAATAAGTCATCGTCGATTTGTATTCATATTCTAAGGAAATATTCCATTGTATAATTACTCATCTCTTAGTCTTTGAAGAACAATATTGTATACAGAGGCTGACATAAAACGTTAGGAAACACCAGTAAGCCTACACTTGTCCTCATTTCCATTCTAATTTACTTGAGGGTTCTGCACCTGCTTTTCTTACCTCATATACTGCATTTTTCTGAAACACATTTCTGTTTTCAAGAATTTGGTAATCTGTAAGCATTAAAAGTGGGGATAGCAGCTCCACATAGAGCGCTTGTGATACAATCCAACAAGAAACAGAATTGTGAATAGGGACAAGATAAACTCAACAACAGGAGAAGTGCCTGTTGAAACTGCCAGGATGAAGCCTAAAACAGGCAGACATGGAGTATATGTGTGGATATTGCATTGCCTCATCCTGGGAAGTTTTTGTCTGGTCCACTAAACTAATCGGCTTCCATTGTTTAGCAGTTGTTATATTAAGCAGGATATTACAGAGTTCTGCTTGCACACAACTGTATTTGAAGAGCCTATTTCATAACAAATCTTGCCATTATCAAAAGATGAGGCGTTTTCCATCAGCTGGGTTTTGTTCCATGGGGCAATATGGACACTTCAGTCTGCAAAACATAACAAGAATCAAATCAGGACTTTGGAATCCTTATCAGAAACTACTTTTGTTACAATATGAAGATGATCTGCTCCACACTCCTAGAAAACTGGCAGCAAGTTCTATTGTATGAAAGTGTGATGGAGTCATTGGACTGGCACCACAGATATTCAGGTTAAGTCTATCATCTGTTACAGAAGCTTGCTGGGTGACTTGGGGCTACTTGTTCTCAGCCGAGCTTACTTCAATGTTTGTTATGAAAAATGGAAGTGCTACATGTCACCTACATGTGTTGAATTTCTGAAGGAAAAGCAAAATAGAAATCTTAATATTCACCAACTTTGTTTCTATTTTTGACTTCACATTAAATGAAATCTGGATTTTGTTCCAGTAATGTCAGTCAGTCATTCCTTTTAAGATGTGTGGCCCTCAACTGCCAGAATTCCCCAGCCAGTATGAGGCTGGGGAATTCTGGGAGTTGAAGTCTATACATCTTAAAAGTTGCCAAGTTTGAAAAACATTTAGAGTTTTTAAAATAGCCTTGTTCAACAATTGGACTGAAGGCTATGCAATGTAGCCCTAGTACATAGAAATTTTAAAAAATAATTTGGGAGAAAAGTTTTACTAAATCTACATGGTATTGCGTGTATAAATATGGGATGAATAAAGTATATGATTTAACTGCAGTATGGAAATCGAAATAATTCAGGCAATTATCATCTACTAATCCCATAACTTTCACTGAGATAGCAAGATTTGATAAAAATCACTCACTTCCCTCCATTGATAAGCTTGTTGAGAGCATCTCGAGAAATAACATGTCCACAAATCAACTTGATGGGTGGATTGGAATCTGTGGTCTGTTGGCGCAGGATGGGACATGCAAAGACTGAATGATACCAGCATTTCATCCCTAGCTCAACTTCAATCTGTCAGGGAAAGAAAAGCTAACTTTAGCATGTACTGGTAGTTCTTTTATTTTATTCAGCAAAAATCCTAACCCATCCTATAGTTCCTTTCCCAGAATGGGTAAGTAACTCACGGGCAGCTCATCCTTGTGGCTCCAGACACCTGTGCATTGTCTCTGCTCAATCACAGCCTTGATGTTCATCAGAACTGGCAATGCTACACACCCTGCGGCAAAACTGCAGAGACAGAGTGCTCAGCGCTGCCCAGCACAGCCCCCAGTCCCACCTGTATGAAGCTTTACCTGACACTGAGAGGTGACTCCACTGAGAGACCCAGCAAGGCACATGCATCACGAGTGAAAGACTCACAAATCTCTGTCCAATGACTTTCATCCAGTAGATGCCTATATGGAGAATTCTGAAGGCCTAAGCGTAGGTATACCAGACTGCCCATCATCACTTGGATCTCTGTTTAGCAAGATACAGGAGGTGCCACTTCAGTGAACAAACTTTCTCTAAGGCCACCTAGGCCTATTTCAAAATGAATTGTAGGAAACTGGTGACAACACAAGTGAACAGGCTGAGGAGACCATTCCTTTGTTTCAAAGCAAGGAATTCACCACTTTAGTTTATCTCTCATATTAAAATGGGGGAGATAAAGCCCACAGAGCATGGTTTCTGGAATTCTTTTCTACCCCATCATACCAGCTGCACTCAGTCACATGACCAGGAGGGAAGAAAGTGAGGCTGAAGAATGAAGCAGCTGGTAGCATTCCAAGGGCTGTCCAGCTGCTTCTTCCATATGAATGAATGAGGGGGAAGTTTTCAGGAATGCCTTTCTTCAAAGGCCCAAGCTGGATCAGGCATTTTCAAGCTTGATCTTATGTCAGCTTTTCCCACCACACCAAATTTGGTCCTGTTTTTTTCCCCCCAGTTCTCAGACAGCTACCCTGCTGAGAGATGAACAGGCTCAGTTCCTTTACACACACACTTTCCAGCATCCCATTTGGTTGGAGAGGAAAGGGGAAGAATGAGACTTCAACATTCTTTAGCTTTAAGAGTTGTTTGAAGCAACAAAGTCAGAAATGGAAGCCCATCTGTTCTGTCAACTATAAAGAAACGTTACAAAAAACAATCTTAATACAAATAAAATTTGCTATTTTACCCTTTTTTTAAGGACGCTGAGTACAGCATTAGCCCAACAGACCTAGGAAAGAAGTATCAATTCATGGCAAGAAAGCAGATCCAAGGAAAAAGTGTCCCACCTTGCTTGTGTAGGTGGGCAAAGGGTTGAAAGTGACGTGCGTAGCTCAGAGCCTCCAACTCCTTGCCGGGGCCGCCAGAAAGAAGCCTGATGAAATGGAGTCGATGCAGCTGAAACTCCAGAGTACTGTTCAGATCAGCCAACTGCTGCCTGTGGAAGACTGCCCAGCTGGGCAAGGTACATTATTCCCTCAGCACCTGAGTCTATAAAGCAGACACGTCAAACACAAGGCCCGGGAGCCGAATGCGGCCCGCAAAGCGGTTTCATGTGGCCCGCGAAGCCATCCTGGAAACAGTGAGGGAATGGCCCCTGCTGCCTTGGCCCTGGCCCAGGCCAGCCGGAAGCCAATGTACAATTTTGTGGTGGCCATCTTGGCACTTGCCCTGATGGACCATGCCTTGGCACTTGTCACGGTCCCATCCCCTTCTGCCAGAGACCCTCAGATCTGTCCCACTCCTGCCCAGGCCCTCACAGGCACCCTTGACGCGAATGATGTAGAACTGGCCATGCCCACCCAGTGGGCCACACCCACTCCATCCACGCCCACCCAGTAGGCTGCACCCACTCTGGCCACACACACACCCCCCGAGGGCAACCACAATGCTGATGGGGCCCTCAGTGAAATTGAGTTTGACACCCCTGCTATAAAGGAACTGTCCTCAGATTAATTATAATGAACAAAAGACATGGCAATGTTCCAAGCCCACTTACATATTGGCTACAGGGGATTATGAATGGTGGCAGCTTGTTGTAAATGAAATCTCAGAAATGTACTAGAGTTCACAGATGAGAAACAAAGCTTCTTAAAAAGTAATTAAAAACTAATCAAAATAAATTAAAAACCTAAACTAAAATAATCGGATTAGGAATTACAGGAAGAAAAGAAACAGGATTCCCCAAAGGAAAACAGTGCCCTATTCTAAAGACTCACCTCAGAGCAGGTCCTAGGTCTTGTTTGTGCAGGGCTTCCAAAATGCTGTTCAGTTCCAGAAATGGTTTTTTGAAGTCTACATCTACATTCACAGTTGACTCCTGCCAAGGAGAAACCAGAAATTGATTGAAAAACAAATTGTCTTGCCCTCTCCTGAAAATAAAGGAGCAAGCAAGAAATGGAAATATATGCAGATGAGGTTCAATTAAAAATTACAATTAATCTTCCACTTACAACAGGATGCTTAATGACTATTCAAAGTTATGACAGACCTCCCCAAAAGCTACTTACAAGCCAGTTTTGAAGTTACAATAGTCACAAACCACCCCACCTCCCACAGTGACATGATTGTATTTTGAGTGCTTGGCAAGTGGCTCACCTTTACAGCCATTTGCAGCATCTCATGATCACTTCACTACAATTTGCTATGAATTCTGCTGTTTTCCAGTGTTTACGTCTGGTTTCTGGCAAAAAAAATGTATCTGGGGAAAATGGATTGGCTTAATGAGCATGGCGTTTTCCTAACAACCGCTACAAAATATGTAAAAAAAAAACAAAACAGGTCCAGTCACATGATGTCTCAACTTATGACTGCAGTGACTTATGACCATAATTTTGGGCCCAATTAGTCATATGTCAAGGGCTACCTATATCCATTTCAGAATGGACAAAAAAGATATACAACAGAAGAGATTAATTGGGTCAGGTGCTTCTTCTGGTACTGTAGGCAAGAAAGTAAGTTTGTGGCAAGCAGAATTGTATAGTGGCCTAACTGAAGCATAAGCCAAAAAGTGTAACACAATGTAGGATTACAACCATTATGTACTATACAGTATAGTCCTCACTTACTGACCACTAGTTCAAAGTTATGACTGTTCAAAGTTACAGTGGAGTTGAACAAGGAGATTTAAGCTGGTTTTCAAGATTGCAGTCATTGTCACATGATCACTATTCGGGTTCTTGGCAACCAGCACACATTTAGGATGGTTGCAGGCTCCCATAATCCTATAATCACCATTTGTGACCTTTATGGCTGGCTTCTGATAAGCAATGTCAATTGGGAAGCCAGCAGGAAATCATAAATTGCATTCACATGATGTCGGCTTAATGATCTGTGGTGATTTGCTTTACAACCACATAGGGACAGGGTTGACAGTCCCAATTGCAGTTGTTAAGGTAGGACTTCCTGCAAAGATTTCTGACAGAGATTAGTACCTGACACAGTTCTTCAGCCACTCCCAACATTCCTTGTTGATAGAGATGTTCTATAATTGCCAATACCAGGATCTGTTTCTCCTGGGTTTCCCAGACCAGGGCAGGGACAATGCCACACAAATCAGCATCAAAATTCTGGAACAAAAATTTGCAAACTGTTCACAAGTACTAAGGGAAATCCTTCCATCAACCTATGTTGCACATTCTAAAAGGATATAAAAAAGGCCTACTTCTCAGCACTGAATGCACTATACAATAGTCACATGATAGGTATATTATACAGCCCGGTAGAAAAAATGTTGGCTATATTGCTAATGCAATACAGTTTTGTCAGTTAAATGTCCTTAAAAATTCAGTTTTAAAAAAATGAAAGAGGAGAAGCAGATGATTCTTCAATATTTGTATTTAAGAAAGGAAGCAAAGTAACTTGCTAGAATGATAATTTGCCTTATCTTTAAGCATGTAAATATGGTATAAAGATAAATCAAATTAACATTCTAGCAATTTAAAGAAGGATGCCATACCATCAATAATGAAAACTAGGTAGTCCTCAAATGAGATTGAAGTTCTACTCTCTTATGAACAGTATAAGTTGATATTCGACATGAAAAGCTAAACATGTTTCTCTACTGTACAAAAATGTAGGAGATCCTCATTCACAGGCCCCACCTCATATACCTCTACTTAATGCTCTTAATATTTTTATTCTTAAATTGCTTCTTTATTAAATAATTTCTATTAAAAGCACACACATCACAATTATTTGGCATATAAATGCATACATTTATATAATATAATATAATATATATAATAATATAATATAATATAATATAATATAATATAATATAATATAACATAATATAACATAATATAACATAATATATAACATAATATATAACATAATATAACATAATAATATAATATAATATAATATAATATAATAATATAATATAATATAATATAATATAATATAATATAATATAATATAATATAATATAATATAATATAATATAATATAATATAATATAAAATATATAATATAATATAATTAATATAATAAATATAATATAATATAATATAATATAATATAATATAATATAATATAATATAATATAATATAATATAATATAATATAATATAATATAATATAATATAATATAATATAACATAACATAACATCCTTAACTGGGACTGGCAACTTGATCATTATGTGAAGCCACTGCTAAGTGAAACCACAACAGTGTCGATGATCATACTTTAGCTTTCCTTTGCTTTACAGACTTGCAAAGGTCGTAAATGCAAGGATTGGTCAAAAAGTTACTTTTTCATCACCTTATAATTGCAAATGGTCACTAAACAAGGCAGTCTCTAATGAGGCAGTCTCTAAATGAGGACTATCTGTCATCACATTTTGGAGAACCGTTTGTTTGCATATATTTCTTGGACCATTTTTCATGCAATATTCTAGATTCAGCATAATATGAAGAAAATACAATGCTTATGAAGGCTGAGAAAATAGAACAAGGGCTTTCTTGTACAGCACCAAATGAATGTTTACGCTATCAAAGCACAAAATATTAGAACGTGCATATTTCACTAGTTCATAAGGGTTCCACAATTGACAGCATAAAATATATAATCATTGGCGTAACATCTACTCTCATAGTTCCCAGTTTAAAATCCAAAGCAATTTCCTTCTTGGTCCCAAACTCCTGGCTTAGTTAACGGAAGTTACTCACTCTGTCTATGGCTTTGCCGACGCGGGAGATACTGCTGTGAATATCTTTGTGATCTGAAGCTAAATTCTGAACAGTGTCCTTGATCTTCTTACAGCACTGAGACATAACAAGGGAGAGTGTAGCAGAAAGAGGTGCTCGCTGCAAGGCTATAATAGGAAAAGCAATGTCATTTTAGTTTTAGATAACAGCTCGGCGCTTATTTGCAACTTTCATTTGTCATAAATAGGTGAAGATATGTTAAGGTATCCTCACCTGCAGGTCTTTCACATTTGGGGAAAGGCACCACTACGTACAATTTAGTTCCATATAATACTAATATTTTCATACACAACATTTCTTCAGCACCTGTTCACAAATATCTTGGAATTCAAGTGTGGAAATTAAGGGAAGACAGCAATGAAAGTAAACCAGTTGTTGTACAATGGCACAGAGAAAGCACACCTCCTGGGTCCCAATAGATGGCACTATTTCAAAGAAGGGCCGGGGAGTGTGGCCTATCAGAGTATGTGGACAAGGAGATTCCCTTGGGAGCAAACAGTTCTCAAATAATCCAGTCCTGTGTCATGAAAGACTTTACAGGTGTCAACCAGCACGTTGAATTGCACCCCGAATGCTACTGAGGGCCAATGCAGCTTGCAGTATGGAAATGTCACATGGGCATAACAAACAACTACTTGCATCACCACATACTGGACCAATTGCATCTTTTGGGTGTTCAAAGGCAGCACTCTGCAATGGTTCAGATGGGAAGTGACTTAAGATGTTAGTGATCATGAACAGAGCCCCACAATCCAGAAATAGGTGCAAACGACACTGCAAATAAAGTTATGCAAAGACACCCTTGGCTACAACTGCCAACTGTTCTTCAAGCTGGATCTGTGAGTCCTGGAGGACCTGAAAGCGCGCACTGATTCCAAGCAAGGTAAAACTGCTCAGTGCCAAAGATCAATCCTCTCCAGTTTTGGGACCTATAGAACCTAAAACTTACAGTCACCTAGTTTTGATAGGGTAAAGCTAAATCCAGTTCCTCCCCATCTAAACCCTTATAACCCCAGACACAGGAACAGAGCCTCAATGGCTTCACTTGAATTTGAAGGAGGAAAGATGTACTATTGAATATTATCTGCATATCGTATTGCACTTGTATCAAGGGATAAGCTTTCCCTGAGGATTCATGTATATGGTTAGATAATATAGCTTACCAAATTGTGCAAAGTCAATACGTGCAGTTACATTGTGAGTTACAGTGCATTCAGAAAGTATTCCGACCCCTTTCACTTTTGACAATGTTGTTATGCTGCAGCATAACATTCTACAGTTGTTGAAATTCATTTTCTCATTAATCTACACTCAGTACCCCATAATGATAATGTGAAAACAGAATTTTAGAAATGTCTGTAAATTTATTAAAAAGAAAAAAACTGAAATATCACATTTTGGTATAAGCATTCACATCCTTTGAAACAACACATGAAATTTAGCTCTGATGCCTTCCATTTCTCTTGATCATTGCTGACATGTTTTGACACCTTGCTTGGAGTCCACCTGTGATAAATTAAATTGATTGGATACGATTTGGAAAGGCACACACCTCTCTATAGAAGGCCTCACAGCTGACAATGTATACTGTAGCAAAGCAAAAGCCACGAGGTCAAAGGAACTGCCTGCAGAACTCAGAGACAGAATTTTTGCAAGGCACAGATCTGGGGAAGGCTACAATAAAATTCCTGCTGCACTGAAGGTTCCTAAGAATACAGTGGCCTCCATAATTCTCACATGGAAGAAGTTTGGCATAACCAGGACTCTTCCAAGAGCTAGTCATCTGATGAAACTGAACAATCGGGGGAGAAGGGCCTTAGTAAGAGAGTGACCAAGAACCTGATGGTCACTCTGACTAGCTTTGGAGATCCTGTGTGGAGATGGGACAGAGTTCCAGAAGGACAACCATCACTGCAGCCCTCCACCGATCTGGGTTTTATGGCAGAGTGGCTAGACGGAAGCCTCAGTGCAAAATCTGCTTGGAGTTTGCAAAAATGCAGCTGAAGGACTCTCAGATTGTGAGGAACAAGATTCTCTTGTCTGATGAAACCAAGATTGAACTGTTTGGCCTCAATTCTAAACATTATATCTGGTGGAAACCAGGCACCGCTCATCACCTGCCCAATACCATCCCAACAGAGATGCATGGGATGCATCATGCTGTGGGGGTGTTCTTCAGCAGCAGGGACTGGGAGACTGCTGAGGGTTGAGGGAAAACTGAATGGAGCAAAGTACAGGGATATCCTCAATGAAAACCTACGGAACTCAGGACCTCAGACTGGGCCCAAGGTTCACTTTCCATCATGACAACAATCCTAAGCACACAGCCAAGATAACACAGGAGTAGCTTAGGGACAACTCTGTGAACGTGCTGGAGTGGCCCAGCCAGAACCCTGACTTAAACCCTATGTACATCTCTGGAGTGACCTAAAAATGACTGTCCACCAACGATCGCCATCCAACCTGAGTTTGAGAGGATTTGCAAGGAAGAATGGCAGAAAAACTCCTAATTCATGTCATACGCAAAGACTCGAGGCTGTAATTCCTGCCAAAGGTGCTTCAACAAAGAACTGAGTAAAGGGTCTGAATACTTGTGATATTTCAGTTTTTTCCTTTTTAATAAATTTCCAGACATTTCTAAAATTCTGTTTTCACTTTGTCATTATGAGATACTGGGTGTAGATTAATGGGAAAATGGATTTCAAAAACTGTAGAATCAGGCTGCAGCATAACAAAATTGACAAAAGGGGGTCTGAAGACTTTCTGAATGCACTGTATACGAATCCAAAACTAGTTAACCATTAGTAAGTATATCATAGCAACAGTCAATAATTAGATCATTCATTCATTCATTCATTCATTCATTCATTCATTCAAACAAAGGCAGTTTTGGCTAAACTCAAAGAATATATTTTATTAAATTAACCCATTTTCTGGGTTCACCCAGATACACTTGACTCATAAACTAATTAAATGGGCTGGGTTCACATAACAGGCTTCACAACCTGTACATCTAACCAAGGATAAAGTTACGGAAGGTTTTTAAAATGTTCACTAATTGTATTAAGGGTACTTTGTCAAGCCCACTCAATTCAATAAGCATGTCACATAAAATCTCCCAAGTAAAGCTCAACTTCCTACAGTTTCGTGATAAATTCTGTGCATGCTTTCCGGCAACAACATAAAAGTGGTTTTTTTTCCCATTGTGCTCTTCTAGGATGCTTTCCCAATATGACTGTCTAGCGTAGGATTTCCGTGTGGTCTCTCATCCAAGGATCTGCCTGGCTAATTTATGACCAGATGGAAGGGGCTTATTTCCAAAGCCGAGACCGCAACCCAAACCCCTTTCCCCTTCCAGGTGCTTTCAGGGAATGCGAACCTGCCGCCCTGCCTCCAGGCAGAGGCATCCCTACCTGCAGCGCCCAGCTCCTCCCTTAGCTGGCTGACGTAGCGCAGCAGCTCTTCCAGGCCTCGCTCACAATGCTGGCCGTAGCACAGGAACTTCTGCAGCACTTTGTCCACCTCCCTCTCTACGCAGGCGCACCGCTCCATTAGCCCGGCCTGCCTGACACGCTCTGAAGCGGAAGGAGAAAAGCTTCCAGTCAGTACAGTCGGTGACCTTTCAGGCGCGAGCCCGGGCGCGGGGGCTGGGGTGAGGCGGAAGGTCCTTACCGGTTGAACGCCGGCAGCGCTGACAAGAAGAACTGGAGACGAGGCCAACCAGCCGGGCATCCACCCCCAACCCCGGTTTAAGGAGTAGAGAGAATAGTTCGCGGACAGGATCCTGCCTGTGTCACGGCTCGCCGTCTGGATGCGGTCGCCACAAATTGACACGATGGAATCTTTGGTGGTTCCTATCACAGACGAGCGATAGGTTAAGAAAGACACCCTCCCTACGCCGAATGGCACGTTCCTTTGCTATTCAGTATGAAGGTTGGATGGAGCCACTTTGGAAAAGGGGGGGGGGAGGGAAACTTAAATAATGCTGACCTGAAAACCGGGGAAAGAGGCGTCGGTTTTCTTTAAACTGAGAAAATAGAATTAATATTAATTAGTTCCTTCTTGTATTATGCTGACGTCCTATGCGTATCTAATTGCTAAAGTTTCTCTAATGATGGAGCAAACCATTTTTATTGGGAAGGGTGTGCCTGGAATGAACTATAGGATGCAACAGCTGATTGGGACAAACCATTTTTGGCTTAGGTAAATTGTGTTAGTGACGTGTAGGTTTGGAGTGAACCATTTTGTAGACAGTTGGAGTTAACTCGTACGGTAAGAGTCTAATACAGGTAAGATGAAATATCAATAACAGATCAGGCAAAGGTTTGATGGACTGTGACCCCAACCTGTCTTAGACTTGGTATTATTAGTTAAAATGGATCAAGTCTTTCAGCTTTCCTCCCTCTCACTGGTGATAGAGGCCCGGTTCCCACGTGCAGTTTGGGAGCACCACAACATCCCTAATAATTTGTCTTCTCCCTTGATATCCAATGCTGGTCTTATCCCCAAACCATTATTTAAATAGTCTTGTGTCATCACTTACTGCGCCGGAAGAAAGTTTTTTTTGTCCCCTCTCAGTCTCATAATATCCCATCAAAAGATCATATTCTATAAAATTAACACTGTGTCATCTATTATGCTGGAGCTAAATTCAGATTACCTGTTGCGTGCAAATAACCATGTGCTTTGGGTGTAGCTCTGCCATCTAGAGCAGGGCTTTTCAACCTTTTCACCCATTGTACCACTTTTAGGATATGGCAACATCCCGAGTACCATCAGTCGCCTAGCAAGGTGTCAAAAACTTGATGTACCCCCCCCAAAAAAGGAAAAAAGTGATAAAGTACAGGTAGTCCTCGACTTACAACAGTTCACTTAGTGACTGTTCGAAGTTACAATGGCACTGAAAAAAGTGCCCCCCAAGCCACAGCCGAGCAAGACACCTGCCTGCCCGCTCAGCGGCGCTCTTCCTCCTGTCCGAGGTTTTCATTGTGAGCATTTCTGTTGAGGATTGGCAGTGGGGGGGGTGTTTGGTTTTTATTCCCCCCATCTGCTGGGTGGTTGCAGCAGGTTTTGGTCACTTCACATGACCCTGGGACACTGTGACCGTCATAAATATGAATCAGTTGCCAAGCATCTGAATGTAAATCACATGACCCTGGAGATGCTGCAACATTCCAGCTGATCAGCGCTTCTTCAGGGCTCAGCAGAAGCACCAGGATCAGCGCCAAGCTCCAGCTGAAGCCTGGCGCTGATCCTGGTGCCAGGCTTCAGAGCTTCCGCTGAGCTCTGACACCCTGCAGCTCCAGCCATCTCTCGCTCAGGCTTGTGCGGGGCTGCCACCAGTTCAGCTCATTCCCCTCCCCCGCTACTTTTCTAGGATGGTCGCGTACCGCCTGCCAGGTGCCAATGTACCACAGGTGGTACCCGTATCACTGGTTGAAAAGCCCTGATCTAGAGGAACGATTGAATGAGCAGGTGTTACAGGTGTGCTCAAAGTATGGTTTGGAGTATGTGTCTGGAGATACACACATTCCTCCTTTGTGGTCATTAAGTCTTCATTGCAGCAATCGCTCCCAGCAGTTACCTTCTCACTTACCACTAAATATCCTGTGTTCCTTTCATCCCGATAATATTCCCCCACCCTATTTTGGAATTAATGTTTCTTCAGTATTCTAACCAGATACACAAAAAAGAGACAAGTTCATTATTTTATTGAGAAAGGTGCGCCATGTTTATGCAATTCTATATTTGCATAATTCCAAAATGTTTTCAGGAAACAATCAGCTTCACATTTTTCCTCAGTGCAACATCTGGAAAATCAAGAAGGTTGTCAAACTGGGCATTTATTATTTGCCAGTTTCTCTGTGCTAATTTCTTACTTTCCTGGAAATAATTGTGTACCCAGGATATAGTTATACAATTCTCTAGGTCTTGGTTAACCATGTAATTATATCATGGTCTCTCTCTCTCCCTACTTGTAACAATTTTTAATCTGATGTCTCCCTAAAAGTATTTATTTTTATCTGAATTAAAATATGCTGGAACTGCTCAATTAATTCAAGCATTTTTGGAAACAATTGGGAGCCTTCTTGGAATTTGCCCAAGTTGGATGTGGAAGATAAACCAATGTAAGAAGTTGTCCCTAAATTGTAAAATTATAATTCCTTTTATGCTGCACTATTCCAGTTGGGGGACGTTTTCCTGCTCGATAAATATGTGAAGTTGGATAATAGCAAAGTTATAGGAAAAGACAAATTGGCGTACATATAACAATTGGTATAGTTACAAATCTGGACTATGCAGTTTAGCAGGCAGTTGCAACAGAAGAGCAATTTTATGATGGCAATTAACCAGTGGAACAGCTTGTCTCCAGAAATTGTGGGTGCTCCATCACTGGAGATTTTTAAGAAGAGGCTGGACAGTTACTTGTCTGAGATGATATAGGTTCTTCTGCTTGAGCAGGAGGCTGGACTAGAAGACCTCCAAGGTCCCTTCCAGCTCTGTTCTATTCTATTCTAAATTATTTTGTACCAACATGTAGAATAGAAAAACTTTTAGACTGTTGTTTTGTAATGCATCTTTTCTGGAATACAACTGATAATTCTTTGTCTTAGAAAATTACCAGATTGTGTGAAACTTAAAATATTTCTATTTTAATTACATATCTTAATAAATATTTGGCTTGACTGCTGAAATATATTTACATTGTGTGCCCATGAAGTCATTTTAGAACAATAACTGTTCAAAATATAGTAGCTGATTTATTATCTTAGGTCAGTGGTGGCGAACCTATGGCACGGGTGCCAGAGGCGGCACTCAGAGCCCTCTCTGTGGGCACGCGCGCCGTTGCCCCAGTCCTAGGCCTTCAGCTGGGTTTTATAAAAACTTTTCGCTTTAGGCCTCTGCCGCCATGTGCAAAAAAAAAAAAGGTTCAATCAATCAGTCAATTTCAACTTCTCTTGGGAAAAAAAAAGTTCTTGCAAAGTTGGAATTGATTGATTGAACTTTTTAGTCCCACCCAGTTTGCTGTTACTACTGCAGCCACGCCCACCCAATGGGCCACACCCACCTAATGGGCCACACCCACCCGGCACCCGACGATGCATAAGTGGGTTTTGGGTTGCAGTTTGGGCACTCGGTGTCTAAAAGGTTCGCCATCACTGTCTTAGGTCATGAATACAGAACACATTAGATCAGGGGTGTCAAACTCAATTTCATTGAGGGCCGCATCAGCATTGCAGTTGCCTTCAGGGGGCCGGGTGGCTGTGGCCAGAGTGGGTGCAGCCTACTGGGTGGGCGTGGATGGAGTGGGTGTGGCCTACTGAGTGGGCATGGCCAGTTCTACATCATTCGCGTCAAGGGTGCCTGTGGGGGCCTGGGCAGGAGTGGGACAGATCTGAGGGTCTCTGGCAGAAGGGGGTGGGACCGGGGCAAGTGCCAAGGCATGGTCCACCAGGGCAAGTGCCAAGATGGCCACCACAAAATTGTACATTGGCTCCCAGCTGGCCTGGGCCAGGGCCAAGGCAGAGGGGGGCGTTCCCTCACTGTTTCCAGGATGGCTTCACGGGCCACATGAAACCACTTCGCGGGCCGCATTCGGCCCCCGGGCCTTGTGTTTGACATGTCTGCTTTATAGACTCAGGTACCATTTCAGTCCCTGGGTATTACTAGAGCAGGTAAATCTTTTGTCAGACTATATTAGAGTTTTATTAGTACTACTAATAATAATAATATTGGGAAGTGAGTGGAAAAATGACAAGACAGTCTAACCTTGGATTGTTACAATTACACAGAATCTAAATCTTTGCTGGATATGAATAGCAAAAATACAAAAGACACTTGCTAGGTGAAGCCCAGCTATAGAGCTGGAAAATAAGGTAACACAGATAGGTTTTAAGAAGTCCTAGTGGTATAAATGAAATGCACAAAAAAAATTTGAAAAGCATGTTCTAATCTAAGGAGATATATCAGACAGGTTGTTCTTACAATTCTCTGAGAGAAATGTGGTTCGGATCTAGATGGCTAGAGGGGTCTGAGTTCACCAAGTGTTTTTAGATTAGAACTATAATACTGGGACCCTCCTCATATCTTTAGCAGATGCCTGGGCTTTCTTTCTTGGATGAAATGAACCAGTCCTATGGAATTCAGGAAACTGGTTTATCCAGCAGTTCTAAGAGGCAAATGCCCTTGTTACTTTTTGTGACGCCTTGACTCTTCCCTGTGGCATCTGAGCAAGCAACTTGGTTTCTGGCTTAGCTGCCAAGTTTTGGTGCCGCCCTCCCAGGGTTGCTTCTCAACTCCCTGCAGTTCTAATTGATGGGTGGAAACCTGCTCTGGGGATTTTGGAGTGAGGCACCGAGCTTTGGACTGGCGTGGGCACAGGGAACCAAACAAGAAATTTCAACAACCAGCTGTCTTGCAAGAAAAACAAGCATTTGTGGTTTTTTGGGACCAACAAAGAAAAAAACCATCTTGATATAGTAGGAAGTATGTTCCTGGTCCAGCTCACTGTAGTCTAATTTACAATTTCTTTTTTTCAGCCTCTTTTATAATTTGCTAACCCAGGTTGGTATGTTGAAAATTAACCACATCCATATAAGTAGCTCCCTGATAAGGGATTAAGCTTATATAGTAAGAGTGAGACTATAG